AAGTGATATTTTATAAATTCTGAGAAAACGTGTTTTTTTGGATAAATTTTAATGGAAAGTTTAGTAGTTTTAATGAACAATTGAAATGCAGTGGTTTTAATGATGAAACATTAAAGACATCTACCTGCTTCGTTCCTAGGTAAGTATAGTCTTGCCATTGAACTGTTGGGATGGTGCATACTATACTTGATAAGAGTGGTCCTAACTTTTCTATTAAGCTCCGCCAGTGCAGTTGTTGTTATTATTATTATTATTATTATTATTATTATTATTATTATTATTATTATTATTATTATTATTATTATTATTATGAATTTTTTATAAGAACGCATGCCCCTTTTCCCTAGAAAATTCACTGAGGACCAACAATAACTTATCAGCCGCTGGCATTTCAGCAGTACACCTCTCTTAGGAAGTGATGAATGCTGCATCCAGGGCTGGATTTTGGGTGGGCAAGGTGGGCGGCGGCCTAGGGCCCCCACCAAATACAAAACATGCAATATTGTAGGTTTTAACAAAAGTCATACAATGTAAGTCAAATATATATATATATATATATATATATATATATATATATATTTGAATATCACATTTATATTATCACATTTTAATTTAATTTGTTACATTGTGACATATTTTCTACTTTTATTTTAATATTAAGTTTATTGAATCAGAACCATGATTCAAAACGTGATTAAATGCGGAAATGCACGGAATTCGCGATGTAAGCGGGCGCGGGTGGAGCCCCCTCTCACTGCCATCGCCCCCGCGCCCGCCCCCACGTTGCGAACTCCCTTTGTCGCCTGCTTCTTAACCACTTTCTAAGATGGGAACGCCTCTCAGCCGCTTAGGCTCGCGATTCTGGGATTTTTTGAATGGAGAGAAATAAAAAGGATCCTGACAGTCTCAACAGCTAACCGCTCGGCCCAGTCGTTACCGGAGAGAGAGAGATGTCAGGGCTTACACTTTTTCCAGAAAAAAAAAATACCAGTAATTACTATTTTCGGAGGCCTTGCCACTTTCACAATATTATAAATGGGCGTTCGCCGATATTTGATTGGACGTAATGAGACTTCGCTCGGACACCAAATAGAACTTTCAAATAGAACGAATGGCAGCTTAGTTTGCCGGTGAAGAAGTAGGAGAAGGAGGCTTCGTAGTGAGCTAGGTAAATATATACATTCATTCAGATCAAATTTCCGTCTGGCGAACTTTGAGCAGCCACTCTGGTTCTTGAGGGAGACCGCGACTTCGGCAGCCGCGAAGTGCAAGATTTGCATTTCATTACCAGTGAACGTTGTCATGTCACGGAGTGGTACTCCGTGAATATTTAGGCGATGTGGAATATACTTATCGAAAATTAAAATATAGTTTTAAAGCGGGTTTGATCTTTAATAGAGATTTTTTTCTTAAATGAAATCTGTTCACGTAATATATTGAAAATATACTTGTCTTCCCTACTCAAATCTGCTTGAAAATCCATCATGTATTTGCACAAACAACCTTGGTTTACGTGAATGTTGGTTTTCTTTGTATGTTGGCATTTTTAATTTGGTTTTAAAGAATTTTGGTGCATAGGTGGTTTAATGCAAGTATGTGGAATGATGAGACTCTGTCAGTATTGCATCTGTCGTTTTCCTCGTTCTCTGAATGGCCATCGAATATTCCAAGAGAAGCCTGAATAGTCAATCGCGCACAGCTCTACAAAGCGAGACAAATTGGGTCGGCAAGTGGCGACGGCAGCGGTCGAACGCTACTCGGGGTCGTCCTCGGGGCGCAGCACATAGCGCGGCGGGTGGCGCGCGGCGTCGTCGTCGTCCATGACGCACCGGCCGTCGGCGGTGCGGCGGGCGGGCAGCTCTGGCGGGAGGGCGGCGGAGAGCGCGCGCGCGGGCGCGCACCCCACGTAGCCGAACACGTCGTAGAGCAGCGCCTCGCCGGCGCAGAGCAGCGTGCGCAGCTCGCGCAGCGGGTGGCAGCGGCGGTCGGACGCCAGCACCACCCACCCGCCCGCGCACGGCCTGCAAGCGAACGCAACGCACTAAGAAATTCATTATTTCATTTTTCGCTGATGCGCTTGATAGCTAGTTGCAGCCTTCGGTACGGAGCTCGATATACACTGCATGACTTACCCGGATCGAGAGGATCGTGGTGACGAGGGAAATATGAAAACATTTGTACGGTGCTTCATGTTCTGTTATGGAGGGAATTGCCTAGCAAGGCCACCAATTTTTGGAAAAACCGATGGAGCAAACTAATTTTTATTTTGATATTTGCAAAGCAATTAAATAACCCAAAATTCTGGGTATAGGGAAAATGTGGTTTTTGAAGCAATTTATTATTATTATTATTATTATTATTATTATTATTATTATTATTATTATTATTATTATTAATATCATCATCATCATCATCATCATAATCACATTCTATATGCCATTCAGGCACATAGGGAGAGGTACCTGGGCACGCAGACTGGCTGGATGCGTGCGAGGAAGGGGCTGCGCGGCGGGGCGGCGGGGTCCTCCGGCCCCAGCAGCGCCAGCGGGTCCAGCACCAGCCACTCGGCCGGCGCGCACGGCCCGCGCGTGCGCAGAGTGTGGCACGCGCCGTCCGCCAGCACGCGCCCCTGCACCAGACACGCGTGCTGCGCCGCCGAGCACGCCGGCGCCAAGCCCTGAGCCAAAGGAGGACCCTCATATATTTTTCTTTCCGTTGGGGGCAAGGACGGGAGGGCATAGGACATACAACATATTATTTATATCAATTACAGGAGACTGTTTGCATTGATTATTCATTCATTTTTATTTCAAATTAAAAATAAAATGGGCCGAAAATCCGAACAGAAATTGCCCCTCACTTCCTGGAATAGTTTCTGCCCGTCTCTGCAATGATGTATGTTTATCAGACTGCATACTAGCAAGCTTAAATTCAACTATTATCTTGGATGACAATTCTACTTTGATCAGCAGTTTTCCGTATTTTTTCCTATCAATATGAGGCGAATGCCGAAGTGATACCTTAACAAACAGGCCAAATCTTTTCTCCACATTTTTGTACCCTCATATACCCACCCCTTACACACACATATGTACTACACCACACGTATCAGAACACCAAGCGGGAGTTTTGAGAATATCCGATTGGGGCAATTCCCCGCTGGGTGAGATACTTGGAGGAGGAGAAACATCACAAGTCGACGTGTTCGTTTGCGTAGCTTGGTACCAGATCTCACGGTTCAGTGGATAGGAACATCGCCACCTACTGGGATATAAAACGGACTACACCTACGGCATTGATGCCCCTAACAGATGCACCCGGAAACGAACAAGCCATCAATCAATCAACCGACGCCTCTAAGAAAACAAGGCTGCGATCGTTCGCAAACGATTTGAATGCTTTGTATGCGTGCACGTTTCGAAAGAGTAGAAAAATTAATACCATAAATTCCAAATAAACACAACCAAATAGGTTAGCTGCGTCGACGAGATGCGTCGAAATAAGGGAAAGATTTATCAGTTCGATTTTCCCGTGAGTTCCGATAGTGCGCATTGTAAAATTACAATGGCCCGCTGCTCGACCTGCATTTGACCCTTGCTAACCGGAGTTCACCGCTCACGACGCGTCTTGCGCGTTTGAAAATGAAGCCAATGGACGGAAGTTCGAGGGAGGAAATTTTCCTCTTCTACTGTATAGCTAGATAGGTATACATATATAGAAAGGTTTCCTATCTGGCTACGGAAGCGCTGATATAGGCAATTCACATACAAGAGAAGGGAAGGTTGAGTGTTCATCCTCAGGGCGACCTCGATTGGTTTCAATCGTTTTCGCGCAGGTATCTGAAAAGTTGTATAGTTTGAATCTAGATCAAAATTTTCCTTTCAGCTATCTACTGGAAAATTGTACATTTTACCTCCAACATCAAAGTAAATATTTTATTAGATAATTGAAAGCAGAAAAAGAAAATATGAGAAAAGGTCATTCCTCCCTTCTCTCCCCTGGAAAGCTATTAATATTGAGAGATTGTGATAGAATGATGCGAATGATAGAGAGGAATTAATCTTACTTCCGAAATGACGAAGATGATTGTTCATAATTCTACCAAATATTATGTTTGCAAACGGTATCTCTTGAATCCTATCTTAAATTATAAAAACTGTGCTTACTTTCCCTGTCTGAAAATTGTGTTTCGTGGAGTTAAGTCGCTTCGGAAATAAGCTTCTCAATGTCACTCGTCTGAACCGCGATTTAAAACGCAGTGCCCAAGAATGGAAGGCAAGCGGTCTCATCACTCCCCCCTGTTCCTCCCAAAGAAGATGAAGAGACGAAGGGGATGAAGACACGAAGAAGAGGAAGAGAGGAAGACGAAGAAGAGACAAAGACGTGGAAGAGGACAAAAAAGAAGAGGGAGAGAGGAAGAAGGTGGTACCTGCAGGATGGCGCGGTGCGGCGGCGCGCGCGTCGGGTGCAGCACGTCGGGCGCCGTGCAGCGGCCTGCGTAGGGGGCGTGCATCGGGCGCGGCGGGGGCCGTGGCTCGCTGGCCGCGCAGCCGGGGGCGGCGCACGCGCACACGGCCTCCCCGAAGGCGTCCAGCGCCCCGCGCAGGCCCAGCTCCGGGCGGCACACCTGCCACGGCACGCGCGGCGCACGGCTGCTTGTCACATTCCCACTTTCCCCCTGCTTTTCTTCCTCAGAAACCCCACATCTCTGTAATGTGTTCCCAGTCTCCACTCTTCTAGCTCACAGTGCCTACACATCTATTCCTCAATATAACGAATATCTACTCCCTCTGGGTGCATTCCCTAATCGATATATTGCTATCCTTCTTCTGTCACTTTCTTTACATTTCCCTTTCAATTAATTAGCAATATTATACATCTGAGTAAATTTTTACCATTTGTGATTAACGTTTTATTAGTTTCCAATAATAACTGTTCTTTACTCATTTGAGTTATTTCCCACTTCTTCCGCCCTCCCACGAGTGCGAGGGCGGGCGTACCGTGAGGTGGAGGTCGGCGAGCGAGACGCAGCCGCCGGTGGCTGCCAGGCGCACGTGCAGGGCGTCGGCGCAGTGGCTGGCGCAGCTCCCGCGGAAGCCGCCTCCGCCCTGGGCCTGCGCGCGGTCTGCGTGGAACAGCTGCCCCTCGGCGCACGGCCCGCGCTCGCCCACGCGATAGCACCTGCGACACGCGGGCCGACACCATACAGCGCTCACGCTCCTCTAATCGCAAGGCGCAGGTTGACAGAGTTCTTCACGAGACGGGGATGCCGGGTCGTTCAAATTTGGAGTGGACTGTATCGGGGCCGCAGCCGCAATAGAAATCTAGCATGTACTTCCGAAGGAATTTAGACTTTATGACAAAGGAATGGTGGCGTTGATGAGTGACACCAGTTTGAATTTCCTTCACGAACTACATCGTGCGCGACTCTAGATTGGCGTGCGTCGTGTGTGACACGATAAAAGGAGAAGCGTCATCTCCGTACACGGCACACGCGTGATCCAGTAATGGCTGTTTTCCTCTACAGAAGTATACCAAATTAAGATACACGGCTAGTTTAGATACAAAGTACACGCAAAGTACACGGCTAGTTTATAAGCAATAATACAAAGTGATATACTTATCCTTAATTAAATGGAAGATGATATTAATGGGAGTAAGGGGAGGCGATTTTTTCAGTTGATTTAATTAGAATTTGAAGAAAAAAGAGTATATTTTGCCCTTGGATCTGAAAGGGAGTTCAATATGGCTAGAAGGGAAAATAGCTTTTTCACTTGCGGAAAGAGCAATGGAACAGTTTTTAGGATTAGAAACATCAGTGCTGGTGGTCAAAATGTTGAGGAAAGTAGTATAGAGTTCAGCAGAACACCTGAGATACTCCGTACGAAAAAACGCAAAACGCTAATTACGTCCGAAGGTACTTTGTGAGACGAGATAGAACTATTTTGAAAAGGTATTCTGGATCGCCTAGCACTCTAAACGTAGAAACCAGTCTCGAATGCCACATTTGGAAATCCTTGGTGAATTTCAGGAAGAACCCCCAAAAACTTCGCTAGTGTAAACGCTATTTCTTCAGTAATTCGCCAGTTGAGTGGTGATACGGGCTGGGTGGAGGGAAATTGTTGTTAGAAAGTTTTCAAACGGAAAATATTTATCAAAAAGTTGAACGTGAATTGGTAACAGACTTATACTAAAAAACTGGAAGAGTTTGTGGGGTTTACCTCTAGAATTTGGAATTCCCTTCTTCTAAAGACTCGCTGGACACTCTGTTTGTGGACACGGTGGTCCAGCTGGTATTGTTTGTGAGTTCGCGGGTTTGATTTCCGATATGTAAAGAATCCATGGAAACAGATTGGTTTTTCGTCAGCAGAAAACGCATCCAAGAGACATGGTGGCAGAAAATGCTGATAACGCATGATATCATCCTTTCCAGGAATAAACATGCTGTTCGTGTGAATCAAGAGATGTGGCATGCTACTAAATTGGCAACACATCCCGCCGTCAGAGCTCTGAGCTAGTTTCATTGCATTTATAATCTCAGATCGAACTCGTTATGCCAGACGTTTCTAACATTTCAAAACACTATCAGACACACATGTGTTTTTTTCGATAGATTATGCTACGCAAATCCTAACTTTCTACATCAACAAGTGGCAGTACAGCAGCTTTTTGCAACATGGCCAACATCCACGTTTGTAAGAAACAGCGTTGTGTGATTAAATTCATGACTGCAGAAGGTGAAATGTGACAGATGAATTAAGTCGCAGTATCTCCATCACTTTCTCTGCTCTCACCCAGCGGTCACCAGGAATGATGTCATCGACTTTTCCCCTTCAGTTTCGTTTCGGAGACCATTGTCCATCATCTAACAGTGTTGACATCCATTCTTGCATCATCATACACATTATTCAGTCTTGAATGCGAATGAACATTTCATCTTCTGCATTCCAAAATTCAATTATACAACGCGGACTCTCACGAACATCGATGTTGGCGATTCTGGAAACGACTGCTGTGCGCTGATGGCATGATTTCGCAGAACATTACTAATGCGGTGGATTGTAGAAGGAGGTATGAAAAATAGTGCCAAATACAATTTTTTCACTTAGCTAATTGTATATAAGTAGAAAAAAATAGGAGGCATTACTTTCTGACTGACCTACGTCCCAGTGAGCGCGGCGCTTGCGCCAACTAACCTGCCGTCGGCGGGGTGCAGCAGGCGGCCGTAGTCGAAGCAGCGGCGCTCCTCGGGGCTGCAGGGGTAGTCGCGGCGCAGGTAGGCGTAATCGATGAGGAAGCGCGAGGGGTCCACCTCGGGGACGCGCAGGCCGCTTTGGAGCGCAGGCCTCGCCGCGCCCCACGCCGCGCACAGCAGCGCCCAGCGCAGGGCAGCCATGGCGCCGCTTGTGGAATCTGGAACAGACGTTCCCGTGAACCCGCCATAGTATCATAAGTTCCTGCGAACCCGCGGGACGTTAAATTTGAGCAAGATACTAGATTAGTTATTTGTGTCCCGAGGGGCGTTATAAGGGTTCTAATCACCGAGCGGCGACAAAAAGCCCGATATCCTTTGGGCCGCGGGCTTTTTTCGTCGCCCGGTCATTAGACCCAGTTAACGCCGGTGATACATGCACGATTTTATTTTTATATAATTTTAATGGATCACATTGACTTATTAACTAATTAAGTACATGTTAAATTGATTCGGTTTGTCTTTTCATGTTTCCTCACTCTCATAATACCAGAAGAGAACATGTAGCACCATTCAAATGTTTTCATATTTCCCTCGTAACAACGATCCTCTAGATGTAGGTAAATTTCGCAGTGTATATCGGACTCCGTCCCGAAGTCGATATCAAGCAATAACGTATTATTAAAATATAAATTTTTTTTCTTACGTTCTGTGGAAGGATTTGTTGACAAAAAATATTTTTCGGATAGCCCATTCACATAATAATGGATTTTAATTAACGGCTCTTTTGATTTTGTATGGACGAATTTAATTAGCAATAAAGAAATAAACTTGTGTTCTATTATCCATTATAATGAATTACTCGTATTATGTAATATTGTCGTTTGATTTCGATTCCGGTATTTGTGATGGGTCACCCCTAAGCTAAAATACTGTGTCAAATCACAATTTGGCACTCTTTGTGAATTTTCGACAAGAAATATTAGATTTGTCATGACATACAATGATGAGATACGTACATTATTTCACACCGTTTCCAAAAGGTTCAATTACATTCCGATCCCTTCATGCACCAGATGAGTTGTACACATTGGAGCACTGGAGACACGGAGGGTGGCCGGAGTGAGGGGGCGAAGACACTAGCCGAACCCTTGCTCAGCTGTGGAAAGACAACAAATATCAGAAAATTCGAAAAATCTGATACAAACCAATGCTCTAGAAAAATTGATACTTTCTCGAAAAATGACAGCAGGAACTACGCAGGAAGACTGTATTAAATACCAGAAGACGTCGCACTCACGAAACCCCATGTCAGACGCTCACGAATGACAGTTCAATTAATAACTTTGATTTTCACTAAAACTGTTGACATTTTGAACTATGCCAAAGTTCAACTATTTGTGATGCGCCGCGATCAGCACTGAGAATGCAAGGGATGAGACAAGCCTTTTACCTACTTTCCCAAAATGGCAGAGCCGGAATGCATCCCTGCCGGACCTCCTCGAGAGTGCAGGGAAGAGCTCGCACAAGTGTCAGTGCCTCAAAGATCGCCCTTTCATACTTGAAGAACATGAAAAAGAGCAAATACTCCTTTTAATGTTGTTTATTTTTAATTATGCATTGTAATGGTCAGACATAGCAAGGAAAGTTTGTTACTTTGGAATTCATCTATATCGAAGATTCTTAATTTATTGAAACTAATTTCTACTACTCCATGAGTTACTCGGAGGAGGGACAAGAAGCCACGGTATTCCCTTTAAATATGCAAAATCAAATAATGATATTTTAGTTAGATTACATTTACAGTTCTCAAGATTCTGCCACGTTCGCCAGTGTTCGAGGGTTTTCCCTTTACCGGTGCGAGAACATCTATTTGCGCGACTCATTAATGGAAACCTTAACAAAATTGTTTACTCCATCCCGTCCCAAACCACCAGTCGGGGTGCATTTAAACACCAGACCATTTGTTCGGACAATTTTTCACGCTTAACTAAGCGAGTGGGGTGAAGGTCTGAGACTAACATGAAATGATTCTTATTCTTTTCCCAAACATTGGAAAACATTAACATTTCATATTATTATAAAGGATGATCTATTTAAAAAATATTTTGAATATTTTTTTTAATATGAAAAATATTGTCAAAATTCAATGAAACCTTTTTCTCCAGAAGTTACGCCTAGCCAGCCAGTTACGTTCGTTTGATGACTTAGTTCACAAACACTTATAAATATATACTTACCTGGCATAAGGGTTACCGTGATCATGAAGGCGGTTCCCTCAGGCAGAGGCCGGCTCATTGCACTGCGAGCCGGCTGATAACAAACAAACTTATAAATATTCTCTTCTGCTTTTCGACATGCTTCTTTTTTAGCGGCGATATAGGTACACGTGTAAAAACTATCCCTAACTTTTAACTGTACTCACTGAACTGACACTCTCCAGGCGCTGTTAGCTGGCACTTCAACCTATCTCACTGGCGGAAGAGCTCGCGAGAGTCATCGGCGACGCTCCGTCGCATAAGTCGGACGCAGGCTGGACCACACGTACCTGCGAAGGAAGTGCGTAGAGGTCGCACAACAGACGGTCACTGTGCCACTGCGGGAGTTCTGTGCCTCCCGCACTTCCCTCTGCAAGTCGCACCCACGCCCATTCCTCCCACCCAGCCAGTCGCACGCGCTGTGAGAACCGGTTGAGTGCACGACATCTCAGGGTAATCCACAAAAAAAGCACATTAAGGAAATGAAACGAGAGCTAAAGAAATGATTGTGCAAAAGTCAATCAAGGCCCAGTCTGAATACCGACTCCTCCGTGGTTGCTGGTCTTACTGAAAGTGTTCCCTGCTCGTAGATTGCGCTGTATATTGAAGGCTCTCGAATGAATCACTAGCCTATGCAAAGTGCTTGCTTCCCTTTCTTGCTGAGGAGTGGTGTGTGGGTGTGTGAGAGGGGCAGTGGGGCGTAACGAATGTCTGGGAGAATCCTACGTGCATGGGCGCGTCGTAATTGCACAGACATCCTTCTCGCGGGGCATTTGGAGGCCATTGTGTACCAGGTCTAATTGTTATTCTTAAAACATTACAAAGCGGCTTCCGGTGGTTGTTTTGTTTGATGAGTGCGAGGAAAGCTTACGGGAGATGGACGTTGTTAGGGAAAGTTATTCCGTAAACCGGATGGCAAACCTCAACAGAAGTTGAGGGTGACCGCAAAACTCATTCACGACACTGTTTTCCTGTGATAAAATGAATCAGGCAAGACCCTTACAATTATACAATTGGAAGAGCACATTGTATGATAACAATTAATGTAGTCATTTCAAACATCATAAAGATATATAATTTGTTAGAGAAAAGACAAACTACGAAATATTGTGCTTCCTCCTTAAATGCTGTTTATTTTTTCGATAACATGTAAACCACCACCACCACCTAGGTGTTTAAAAGTTTGTTCTCTAATACTTCAATAGAAGTATTGCAATAGTTCAAAATCCATTGTGTAGTTTTGAACAAAATACTCCTTCAAAGGACCCTAATACTAAGAAATGTTTTAAAAAATCCTCTGCTGCCCTTTCTCGACGTGTGTCTGTGGTGTTTTTGGTGTGTCTCAACTTGATGTTCTGCCAAAATAGATGCAATGATTTCAATTTGGAAGTACATTAGAGATGATAAGTTTCAAAATTTTCTCTGAAACTATATATATAGAATGCATTATTATTACTTTCTCGCCTACTGCTTACACAGAATAGAGATAGTATTGTAATTCTACGGAAAAAACGGCGGATTTTCAACAGAAAAACTCTTATTGCCGGGCGATGGTAAAAAAAGTAGATAAATCTTGATCCTTTATGCAGTAAATTACTTCCTCTAACTCGTGGTGTATTCAGAATCCACTTTTGGTCAGTCCTTGATACGGAAAACTGATTAACGGCAAAACGTATGTATTGCCCCCCCCCTCCCCACACCGCAGGGGGCGGTGATCGTGGCTACGCAGGTGGTCCCGATCTCTGAAGGAGAGTTGTAGACAACCACCCGGACTCCGAGTTTCGCTGCGACACTCACGTCCATAGCTTCTAGGTGGAGGCAGTGTGCTCCTGGTTGCCGGTCTCGCCCGGTAACCCATCAGTTGTGCCTATGGCGCGCCGACTTTGGACAGGATCAGTTGAAGAAGATTCTTCGAAATGCTCTGGAATCCGGCGGGAACCTGATAACACGCGCCAGGTTGCCAAGATTCTGGCGATACTGACGTCAATAACCTTAAGTTGTAGGAAGTGGGGAGACGGAAATGGGGCTCCGAGCCACCCGAAGTGAAGTTCCCCTGATGGGCTCTCGGTTTCGTCTTGGCAATGACCCGGTACTCGGGGCAAAGAGGAGGAGGGGAGGCCAATTGTAATTCAAAAATTAACACAAAATTCATAAGTTACATGAAAATTCTAAAGTTTCATTTGTTGACACATGCTATATTATAAACGAATTAAATCTAAACGTTATTTATAAAGTCTTACAACACAGTCGATTATTTTATATACGTGCAATCTGAATTCAGCAAACACATCGTTCAAGTTTGAGTTTATGCCAATTGACAATGCATAAATTGAAAAAAAAACATTAAACCTTTCATCCAAAATTCCATTTTGTTAATTAGGCCACTGCTTGTCAACATTTTATTTGCTGTCATAAATATATTTGACAATACAAACATTTGGTGTCAAATTTAAAAGTCAATTTATCGACGCGTATACAGGGCTGAGTTTAGCAGATATGTGTGTGTGTTGTTGTTAACGCTGGTTTAGAGCTAGGCGCAATAACCCTGTCCCGGTACATGACTACTCACACTGTATTTTTGTCTACTACTGTGACAGTGGCAAAGTTAAAATGATGATGAAACCATATTGGATCGACCATTTTATATTTTGATAGTTTGAATTCAGATTAGTAATCGGTGACGCAAAGTACCCATATGCACCAACTTTCATGAAAAACAATGCATTTTTCAAATTTTTGTTCATTATATTGGATCAACTATTTTAAATAAAAAAAATTGTCTACAGATTTGTATTTAGCAATCCAAGAAACCTCTAAGTATGAATTTTCATGACGAATGGACAATTAGAACAATGTGTGGATAAAAAAATCATAAATGTTGGGAAAATTGTACTTTTATCTATTTTTAACAATAAATTGGCCACCAAAACATTATATATTTGCGACTTTTTCGAAGCATATTACGTCTACAAGACCAAATGTCAAAAAGGTGCCGAAAAATGTCATATTTTATCGATCGGTGCGCTTCTAGAATGAAGATACAATCGTTGTTTCGGGTAACATGTTTTTTTTATCGAAAACCCAGCGGAACAAAAATCGACTTACGCAGGGATCGTATGAAACATGATGGGGGACATGGTTGAAATTACTTCTACTCATTCGTCACTCCAAGGTTTCTAAGAAGGAGAGTACGTTGCACAGTTGATGGCGAAGATCCGGTGGTCATAGAAGGGCAATAGCATTACGTTGCCTCAAAGGAAGGATGATTCGAATAAAATATGTTTCTAACTAGAATCTAAAATGTTCCGTTTCTACGTTAATAGCATATCATGCCATTAGTTTATATTACTCTTTTTTGCACGAATAGCCGCATGAACGGCAGAGTGAATACCACTATTCTTATGAGTACAAAAAAGTAACATTATAAACGAAGTGCATACGTTATTTTTTTGTATACCATTATTATAAAATTATTACAAGGGTAAAATGGTTACTGCACCTAGAAGTAGAATGGTATATTAAGTACATAATGTAGGCTAAGGCAGACTGTAATACGGACGGCCGTGGTTGGCCGGGGTATTTATTGTTCGTTGTGAAATGAATTTATCAGAGACAATAATTAATGAAGTTGCTAAAGTGGACCTGTTACTAATACGTATAAAATCAGTTGAAAAGGTTGAAATATAATATGAAAAATGTGTAACTTGGATGGAAGAGAAAAATACGAAAGGCGAAATATGAATAGCATGTACGAACTAGTGTCGTAGAACAATACATCAGCAAATGAGGTTAGAATCGCTAGGACAATTGTATCTTGCGAGAGACGCCGAACACAGGCGAACCTTCAAAACCTCACTCTTCAAATAAAACAACAGTTTCTGGAAGTTCAGGATTTTTTTTGCGGATAAATGAATGCATCGAAGTGGGTGGCCAAGTTTTTGAGCACTTATTGAAATGATATTTTCAATCAAGCACCCGTCGGTGAGAGGCGAGAGGACTCATCTAAAACAAGCACCCCCGATGTTATAGCAATTAGAAATTTGTTACATTTGAAATTTAAAAGTTACCCCTCCCCGCTCTCTATGAGAGGTTGGGGGTGCTCACTCTTATCAATACTAGATAAGATTCTTAAAAACACCATCATGTTTTTTCACCCCCTGGTGCAATTTCACCAGAATTGCGAAAAATGTGTTTTCTACTATTACAGCGCCATCTACTGGAAAACAAAAAAAAAGTTTCAAACAAAATCTACGTATTTTTTTGCGGAGAATCCGAATACGCTATAAAAAATAGGGGTTCCCCTTTGAAATTCGCAAGTTGCCCAACCCCCACCCTCAGGGGTTGGAGGTAGCAGGCCGAGATTGATATCATCCCTCTGAGACCAACAAATTTCATTCGAATCATTTCTTAATATGATTCTTAGTTTTCAAGACATTTAGTTGTCTCCAGATAAAAAAAATCACCCTGTATATATTAAACTTAGGTATAATCGAGTATTACTTTTATTTGCAGAACGACACTAGAAATAAACGCTCATGAGTTGAAAGCAGCGAAGCGCGAAGCACGAATAGCGAACGGCGGCCTTCAAACCTGCGCTCCCAAACGCAGGCCACGTAAGGGGTATATTATGACGTCAAAAGTAATACGCAGGATGATCTCCACTTCCTGGCTTCTCGGGTGTTCGCAGAAGCAGAAGGCGCAAATATGCTATGCGGAGCCCTTAGGTCAGATACAGGGACGTGACACGTCATTGTGAACGCGCAGATCGAACTTTGCATCCAGTGCCCTCCCCACTCGAATCGAATGTTATGCACGGCGGCGGGCTTATGTACCGCCGTGCTTGAACTTGTTGAACTTTTTTTTTTCTTTCTTAAATCTATTAAATATTCTCCAATATTGCTTACACCAATTACCAAATGTAAATTTCAAGATATTGTTATAAATCGCTTGCTGGGACCTCATGCTGGATATGGATGCAAATGTTACTACAGTAGTGCAGCAGAATGGCACAAACTTTCTCGAAGTAGCTTTCGGTTTTGCTGCACCCTATCCCTGCTGCCACCTACTGCCTCCAAAGGATATTTTTTTCAGTTTAGCAATTTTTCGGTTCCCTAATGGTAGAGTGAACATATGACGTAAATAATATTAGAGAAGATCTGAAAAACTTGCCATGTATTCAAAATTTCGATGAGAAGTTTGACACATTTTCAAGAAAATGTTATTTGAGGGTTTGTACTCTCAAATGCAATAATGTAAACAAATCTCCGCTAATGAGAAACGAGAAATAAAAATTAATCAAAACCGAAGATTAATTAATTGTCGCTCATCAGTTTTCAGTAATTATTTAATGTGAACGAAATATTCAGGCAATTTCAACTATCTTCAAGTTTGAATTTGCACGTTGTATACATAATTCGAGTGGAGTTTGAGTGGAACAACTTCAGGAAGAATTGTAAATTTCGCTGCATGAAATTGTGTAAGACATTCAGCGAGA